TTAGCAAATGGCTGCAATATAACAAAGAGTGAAAAATTTAAGGGGGTCTGAATACTTTCCGTACCCACTGTATATTTTATGGTGAGTCTGCAGTTCCTACGCAAAAACTGCTCAGTGGCCCAAACAATGACGTTCGACCAATATATATATATCTATTTTTTTTTTTGGTAATTGCAAATTGTACACAACAGGAGCAACATCCAACAACATAAGGCACATCGACCATAAATAATATGAATAATCAACATTATACTCACGACAATAATAGCAACAATGAGGAGGGAAAAAACACACAAGGAGCAAGAATCAATAGAAGAAGTACATATAGACATCAAATAAAAATGAGTGCTGTCAAACAATTAATCGCATCCATAATAAAAGTTTTTGTTTACATAATATATGTGTGTGTACTGTGTATGTTTATTATGTATATATAAACACACACACATGCATGTATATATTTAAGAAAAATAGGTTATGTTTATATATATATATATATATATATATAAACATAACCTATTTTTCTTAAATATATACATGCATGTGTGTGTGTTTATATATACATAATAAACATACACAGTACACACACATATATTATGTAAACAAAAACCTCTATTTTGGATGCGATTAATCGTTTGACTGCACTAATAAAAATACATTAAAATAATAAACATTTTGAGATAGAGCAACAAAGAGTTTCAGACTTTCTATTTAGTTTTTTTTTAAGTACTTGAAGCTCTACATTTTCACAAACTCACAAAGAAATATAGGCTATTAAAGGAGGGCGTACATTTTTTGTATTATTTATTTATTATTTTAGCACTGGTAATCCACCGTGATAATACAGTTAAACTCTTTATAAATAAGTTTGTTATTACACTTACTATCGAAGAGATCTACATTACATATTTTTTTGGATTATTCTTAACAAACCAGTATTGCATTGCATACTTTATAATAGCCTTTAATTGTAATTCTAACTCCGTATTTATTACTAAAATCATTATGAGATAAGAAATACACATTTGCATCTTATAAATCATGAATAAAAGTAACGCCTTTACTATACAATCACTTTTAAACAAAGACTTCCTGTTAATAACTACAGCCCTATTGTTCAAAAGAGTGGAGTTGTGAGGGGAAAAGACAAGTTATAGGTAAATATAATTTCCCTAGAAAGCTGTACTTGTTTATGAAAATGAAAAACCTTCAAAGGAATTTTAAAATAGATCAAGATTACATCTTAACACAAATTCAAGGCCACCAATGGTTTTGAAAATATGATTAGGAATATGGTACCATTGAGTGAGGCTTTGCTAAGCACTCTTTAAGCCATTTTATTCTGAATGCACCAAAAAAAATTCTAATTAGCAGTACATTGTGAATCCTTCCTGTAGAGAAAGGCTGTCGTCTATCGGTCATCACGAGAACTTGTCTTGCTCGTTATTTTGTAAGCTGTCAAATGAATTAATACATGAATTGTTCAGTTTTTCAGAATGAATGCATTTTAATGTTGCAATGTTAATATTATTCCCCATATAATCGAGAGATCTCATAACTGTTTTTAATAAAAGAGTTGGAGCTCTCAAGTCTGTTTTGGGCTCATGCAAAGCACCACGTGAAAGGTCCCTGCGCATGCGCAGAGTCTTGGCTGCTTTCTATTGGCGATCTGCAGCTCGTGTGTTATGAGTGCTTCACTGCAGCGGTGTGTGTGTGTGTGTGTACTACTGCGATAACAGACACATGCTTCCAGCACTGAGAGAGCAGAGGCGAGCAGACCCGAGGCGGAAGAGCTGTCATGGAGCTGAGTTCATTGCTCAAAGTCATCTGGATGAGACAGCATGAGTGAAAGTGTGTTTCTCACACACTAGATCGGATTTACAGGAATCAGCTGATCCGGTGAGTCTGTCAACAAGTCACTACTGTACATCTAAAGTAGACTCAGGTCAGGTGTTGATCAGATCATTTGACCATAATATCATTAGATAGTAAATATAGTAATCATTCAGTACCATGGTACTACCATCTGATGCCTTCACTGTATCATGCTACAGCGCTTTTTGAGTGCAGGGTCCGACTAAAAACATATGCCCATGCGTCTGTACTAATTTTACGCAACGATTACAAAATTTGTCTAAAAAGGGTTTTATTTAAAGGTGCAATGTGTAATATTTACAACGATCTATTGACATAAATGCAAACTATGTTTTCAGATGTGTATAAAGACCTTACTTAACCGGTATGTTTTTATTACCTTAGATTGAGCAGTTTCTATCTACATACACCGCGGGTCCCTTACATGGGAGTCGCCACCATGTTTCTACAGTAGCCCTGAACGGACAAACTGCTCTACACAGCGCGTTTCGTCACTTTGTTGACACAATGATGAACAAGTACATTAACATTCCCAATAACAACGATTTATTGAATGATTAAGGGGTGGGGGGAGGGGGGGACTGAGCCGTTGGTTGCAATTTGCAACCTCACCACTAGATGCTGCTAAAATTTACACACTGCACCTTTAATGAAAAATTAGCCTTATTAAACTATTATTAATAAGCTTTTTTTAATATATTTTTTAAATTCTTTATAAGCTCATTCTGGGGCCTGAAATGGAGGAATTTTGGCCAATACTGCTAATTAAACAATATTTTGTTGAATGTATTTTTGTGCTGGCACCTTGGCTGGTTTAGGTCTGTCATGGATAAATAAAGATGACAATAAAACCACCAGTAGGTGGCAGCAAGTCCCTGTTTTAAAGGGGTGGTTCATTGCGATTTCACTTTTTTTAACGTTAGTGTGTAATGTTGCTGTTTGAGCATAAACAATATCTGCAAAGTTATGAAGCTGAAAGTTCAATG